CATTGTGCCTCAAGTCTTAGGATTAGTCATGTACTATTGTAACATGAAAATTCTTATTCGACTGAATAAATTCTTCACTAAGAATTTTCATACGGTCATGTTCAGTGAACTTGTTCTCTAACAAGCACCCACATAAATGTACTTACGTCTTACGCTAATGTTGATGGAATGCAAAATTCTTGTCCAACAATCATACAAACTATGTGCAAGTCTTTTATGGATTATTCGATATCCCATCTCGAAACATCCATCGACTTGGAATTGTATTTAAGATCACGGCTTTCAAGGTATGTTCCATGATCACCATCTCTATGCGCAACCATACCTTATAACCATAAGTGATCTAGGGATTTTATCTTAAGTGCAATTATAAGATAAATGCTTTCTCTTAAGATAAAGAAATGCCTTATTCATAATATAATTCCAATAGACTGTTTTTACAAGTAGAATACGTCCAATTAGATTGGAACGCCGGGTACCCTACTCTAACATCACAGTGTTGAGAAGCGGGAAAGTGGTCGATAACCGGGTAGAGATGCCGGGTCCGTCGGATCAGTCCGAGGAGCTTAAACTGACTAAGGAGGCGGAAGAGAATATCAAAAATTCCAAGGAAGCTGATTCGGAGAAACCGGCGGATGGCCCACTGTTGCACAGATCCCCAAATCCATATAAGCCACGCATACCTTTTCCGAGCCGGCTTCGGGATGAGAAGCAGGAGAAGCAATTTCGAGACCTTTACACCATGCTCTCGAAGGTCAATGTGAATTTGCCGCTGCTTGATGTGATAAAGAATATGCCATCCTACGTCAAGTTCTTCAAGGACTTGGTCACTAAGAAGAGGAGGTTCGAGGACGGAGAAAAAGTGGTGGTCTATGAGGCGGCAAGCGCAATGCAGCACGACTTGCCGAAGAAGGAACGTGATCCCGAGGGTTTCGTCATCAAAATTGCCCTCGGGAATGGGAAAGAGGCTTTGGGGATGCTAGACCTCGGAGCGGGGATCAATCTCATGCCATTCTCCATCTACCAGCGGCTCGGCCTCGGAGATTTGAGGCCAACTTGGATGTGCCTACAGCTTGCCGACCGATCAATCAGATACCCCAAGGGAATCATAGAGGATATTCTTGTTCGTGTGGGAAAGCTTATCGTCCCGGTAGACTTCGTGGTCCTAGATGTGGGGGACGTGCAGGAGAACGGGAAGGACCATACCATCCTTCTAGGCAGACCATTCATGGCCACCACCAACACCCTCATAGATGTGAAGAACGGTACGTTGAACATGACAGTCTTAGGCGAGTCCGTATCTATTTCTGTTCGAGAGGCCACTTCCGCATCTTCCGTGAACTTTGTGGAGGAGTGTGCCTTTATCGATGTGATGGACCCGTTCGTTGAGGAGATGACGGTACGGGAGTTTGAAGAAAGGTTGATGCCCGATTTGGAAGATGACGAAGGGCCAACGGTTGAGCTCTATGAAGTTGAGGAATCCCGTGCAACAATTCCATCTCCACTAGAGCTTAAGGAGCTCCCCTGACACCTCAAGTACGTTTTCCTTGATGATGAGAAGAAAAAGCCGGTGATCATCTTTGCCGAGCTAAACCGAGACGAGGAACGAGAGCTTCTTGACATGCTTAAGAGGAATCAAAAGGCCATTGGGTGGAGTCTCGGAGATATCAAGGGCATTAGTCCGGCCACATGCATGCACTGGATAATCTTAGAAGAAGGGGCCAAGCCGTTCTGCGATAGCCAACGACGACTCAACCAGAACATGATGGAGGTCGTGAAGAAGGAGGTATTGAAGCTCTATTCCGAGGGGCTTATATACCCGGTGGCAGATAGTGAGTGGGTCAGTCCCATTCACGTGGTGCCGAAGAAAGGAGGGATAACCGTGATCGAGAACGAGAAAAAGGAGATGGTCCCCACCCGTATCACTACCGGGTGGCGAATGTGTATAGACTACCGGCGACTCAATGCCGTGACGAAGAAGGACCACTTCCCATTGCCCTTCATTGATCAAATCCTGGACCGTCTCTCAAGCCATCAGTACTATTGCTTCCTTGACGAACTATCGGGCTACTATCAAGTGGCCATCGCCCCGGAGGATCAGCCCAAGACGACTTTTACGTGCCCATTCGGCACCTTTGCTTTCAGACGGATGCCGTTCAGCCTTTGCAACGCACCCGGGACTTTTCAGAGGTGCATGTTCTCCATCTTCTCCGACATGCTCGAGGATTGCTTACATGTATTTATGGATGACTTCTCTATATTTGGCACTTCATTTTCTAATTGTCTCCATAATTTATTTCGTGTCCTTGAGAGATGTATTGAATGTAATTTGACTTTGAGTTGGGAGAAGAGTCATTTTATGGTACAAAGTGGTGTCGTTTTAGGTCATGTAGTGTCTAGTCGGGGGATTGAAGTTGATAAGGCAAAGATTGATGTGATTGAGAATCTTCCCCCGCCTGTTAATGTGAAAGGAGTTAGGAGTTTTTTGGGTCATGCTGGCTTTTATAGGAGGTTTATAAAAGATTTTTCGAAAATTAGCCAGCCTCTTTGTAAATTGCTTGCTAATGATGTGTTTTTTGTGTTCGATGATGCATGTTTAGATGCTTTTGAAAAATTGAAGCATAAGCTTGTGACTGCTCCTATTGTTGTTGCTCCTGATTGGTCGTTGCCATTTGAGGTTATGTGTGATGCTTCGAACCTTGCTGTGGGCGCCGTTTTAGGTCAACGAGTTGATAAATTACTTCGTGTGATTTATTATGCTAGTTTGACCCTTAATGGAGCTCAACTTAATTACACGACCACCGAAAAAGAGCTCTTAGCCGTAGTGTTTTCTCTTGAAAAATTTAGATCATACATCTTAGGGTCTAAAGTGATTATTCATTCTGATCATGCTGCTTTGAGATATCTTTTGAGCAAGACTCAATCCAAACCACGGCTCATTCGGTGGATTTTACTTTTGCAAGAGTTCGATGTAGAAATTCGTGATAGGAAAGGGTCGGAAAATGTGGTAGCTGACCATTTGTCTTGTATCATCCCGTCTGATATTTCACCTCATTTGCTTGATAATAATATTGATGATAGTTTTCCGTACGAGCATGTGAGTGAGGTTTCTAGTGTTCCTTGGTATGCGGATATCGTTAATTATTTGTCAGATGGTGTTTTGTTGTCTAACCTCTCTTCCCAAGAGAGGAAACGCTTTGTGTTGATGTGTAGGAGTTACTTTTGGGATGACCCGTTGCTTTTCAAACTGGGAAAAGACGAGATCCTTCAAAGGTGTGTGCCTGAAGAAGAGCAGCTGGATGTCCTTGCCTTTTGCCACAAGTTTCAATGTGGAGGCCATTTTGGAGGCCGAAAGACGGCTCTCAAGCTTCTCCAATCAGGTTTGTTTTGGCCAACTCTCTTTAAGGATGCTCATAATTTTTGCAAGTCTTGTGATCGTTGCCAAAGAATGGGAAACATTGGTCGTAGAAATGAAATGCCCCTTGTGAACAATTTACAAGTCGAAATTTTTGATGTTTGGGGCATTGATTTTATGGGACCGTTTCCCAAATCTTGTGGCTTTGAATATATTTTACTTCCCGTAGATTACGTGTCCAAGTGGGTCGAGGCTATCCCCACAAGGACATGTGATGCTAATGTGGTTATCAAGTTTTTGCAAGGATATATATTGAGCAGGTTCGGATTTCCACGGGCCATTATGAGTGATGGAGGCAAGCATTTTTGCAACCGGATTTTCGAGAAGTTGATGAAAAAGTATGGCATTTCACATAAAGTGGCCACCCCGTATCATCCACAAACATCGGGCCAAGCCGAGACGAATAACAAGCAGATCAAGTCCATTTTAGAAAAGACAGTGAACTCTTCCCGAAAGGATTGGTCCAGTCGACTCGATGATGCTCTATGGGCTCAACGTACAGCTTACAAGGGAGTCTTGGGGATGAGCCCGTTCCGACTCGTGTACGGAAAAGCGTGCCATTTGCCGGTTGAGATTGAACACAAGGCATTTTGGGCGATTAAGAAGGTGAATTTTGATCTAGATGCCGCCGGGAAAGAGAGGCTGTTGCAACTCTCGGAATTGGAGGAATGGAGACACGAGGCCTACGAGAACTCCAAAATCTACAAGGACAAAGTCAAGAAGCTTCACGACGCTAATATTGTTCGAAAGAATCTCGTGCCTGGTATGAAGGTGCTTTTATATAACTCCCGACTTCGTCTTTTTCCGGGAAAACTCAAGTCCCGGTGGAGTGGGCCATACATTGTTGACGAAGTTTTGACTCTTGGAGCTGTCCAACTTCGAAACCCGGCTAATGGTGAGTTATTTGTGGTGAACGGACAACGAGTGAAGCCGTATTTCGAAGGAGAATTCGGAAAAAGCCATGTCGAGACGATCAGTCTCGGCGACCCAGCGTACGTCTGAGCAAGAATGTGCCGAGCTCGAGGCATTAAATCGAGCAATCTTGTACCTGATGTATTTTATTATTCATAAAAAAAAGAAGAAGAAGAAGAAAAAGGGGTCGAAATCAGTTACTAGCGCCGCTAGACCTTAGCTAGCGGCGCTAAGGTGTTGTTAGCGCCGCTAAGTGTACGTTAGCGGCGCTAGTAAAGGAACAGAGAAAAACGCCCCGGGTCGCTAGGCCTCTTAGCGCCGCTAGCCGCACCTAGCGCCACGAGGGGGGTGCTAGCGGCGCTAACCCCTGGGCAGAATAAAAAAAAAATCGGGCACTTATAAGACAACCGAGGCTCACAATTTCTAAACACCTCCCCCAAGCATCTCTCTCTCAATTTCTCTCAAGCGCACCTCCGACCCCCGCCTAGTCAACTCGGGCGACCGACGACTCCAGTCCGGCGAGGCCATCTCCGTTTGCTTTACCTCCTTCCACTCCTCTTTTTGGGTTAATCAAGGTCGTCCGAACCCTAGCTCGTGGGGTGTTCGATTTCCGGCCAAATTCTCGGGTTCAAGGTACAATAGCTTCCCCAAATTCTGATATTGTTGATTGTTGTGGCAAGAGGAGGCCTATTCCGGGTCGTAGCATCATCAGCATTCTTCAACTCCTCCAATAGTCTATTGTGCACGCCAAGTGTTTGATAAATTGCCTCAGAGAAGGTACAATGCCGAGAACGAGGGGCAACACATCGAAGAACACCGGTTCGACGTCAGGAGCTGGGGCCAAGGCCTCATCGAGTATTGCCAACCCTCCTACGGCTCCTGCCGGGCCCTGTTTGTCCCAACAATATGGCGTTCCTTTTCACGTCGTTTCTACTCAGGAGGTGGAGGACTACAAGCGGCTCCTCTCGAAGCCGCTCGCTGCTCCCCGAGACCTCGATTGGGGCATACTCAACGACCTTCTCATCTCAGAGGATGTCAGGCGATACCTGTCGCTGCTCGGTCTCACGGTATTCGAGAATATTGTTCAGGAGACCTTTCCGAAGCTCACGCTCGAATTTTTTAGCACGGTGGCCATGCACGATAATGGGAAGTACCTTACTGCTCTGCTAAAAGGGAAGGAATGTAAGGTCACTGATGCGATACTGAACGGGCTCTTCGAGTTTGGCACTGAGGAGGCAGCACGGCACAGCCCGATGGGGTGGAAGGCTGATCCTTATTGGCCCCTGATTTCCCCTTGCACGTCATTCAAGAAAGCGGGGGATTCCTCGGGATTATCACCGATGCTGCCTTGGGGATAGTGCACAAATACCTCTGCCACATGATTTTTGGGAAACGGGAGTCAAACAAGGTAAGCGAGCAGCAAGTATTTATTCTGTGGTCCATCGCTCAAGGGAAACCCGTGTCCATGCTCCAATACCTCAAGAACGCCCTTTTTGATACCCGACATGATACCCGGCGTGGCCCGAACTTGGGACACATTGTTACGTGCATAGCAAAGTATTTCAAGGTTCAGATTGACGAACCTGCTCTTGAGTCCGAGTTTATTACCGAGAGGGACCTTTCCAGTGCCGGGTTTATCTATGACGGTTTTCACATTCGGCCGGTGCACGAGAGGAAGAGCTATAAGAATTATCTGGAGGACCTACAGAAGAGGGGTCCTGCTTCCGAGCCTTCCCACACTGCCGTCGGTCCATCAGGCGCGGGTACGTAGTCATCCCCGGTGTCAACACCGGTGTCGGCCTGACGTGCCGGCAGAGGGGGAACGAACGACGTACCCGCGCCTGATGGACCGACGGCAGTGTGGGAAGGCTCGGAAGCAGGACCCCTCTTCAGTAGGTCCTCCAGATAATTCTTATAGCTCTTCCTCTCGTGCACCGGCCGAATGTGAAAACGGTCATAGATAAACCCGGCACTGGAAAGGTCCCTCTCGGTATTAAACTCGGACTCGAGAGCAGGTTTGTCAATCTGGACCTTGAAATACTTTGCTATGCACGTAACAATGTGTCCCAAGTTCGGGCCACGCCGGGTATCATGTCGGATATCAAAAAGGGCGTTCTGGAGGTATTGGAGCATGGACACGGGTTTCCCTTGAGCGATGGACCACAGAATAAATACTTGCTGCTCGCTTACCTTGTTTGACTCCCGTTTCCCAAAAATCATGTGGCAGAGGTATTTGTGCACTATCCCCAAGGCAGCATCGGTGATACATCTCGAGGAATTCCCCGTTTTCTTGAATGACGTGCAAGGGGAAATCAGGGGCCAATAAGGATCAGCCTTCCACCCCATCGGGCTGTACCGTGCTGCCTCCTCAGTGCCAAACTCGAAGAGCCCGTTCAGTATCGCATCAGTGACCTTACATTCCTTCCCTTTTAGCAGAGCAGTAAGGTACTTCCCATTATCGTGCATGGCCACCGTGCTAAAAAATTCGAGGGTGAGCTTCGGAAAGGTCTCCTGAACAATATTCTCGAATACCGTGAGACCGAGCAGCGACAGGTATCGCTTGACATCCTCTGAGATGAGAAGGTCGTCGAGTATGCCTCAATCGAGGTCTCGGGGAGCAGCGAGCGGCTTCGAGAGGAGCCGCTTGTAGTCTTCCACCTCCTGAGTAGAAACGACGTGAAAAGGAACGTCGTATTGTTGGGACAAACAGGGCCCGGCAGGAGCCGTAGGAGGGTTGGCAATACTCGATGAGGCCTTGGCCCCAGCTCCTGACGTCGAACCGGTGTTCTTCGATGTGTTGCCCTTCGTTCTCGGCATTGTACCTTCTCTGAGGCAATTTATCAAACACTTGGCGTGCACAATAGACTATTGGAGGAGTTGAAGAATGTTGATGATGCTACGACCCGGAGTAGGCCTCCTCTTGCCTCAACAATCAACAATATCAGAATTTGGGGAAGCTATTGTACCTTGAACCCGAGAATTTGGCCGGAATTCGAACACCCCACGAGCTAGGGTTCGGACAACCTTGATTAACCGAAAAGGAGGAGTGGAAGGAGGTAAAGCAAACGGAGATGGCCTCGCCGTACTGGAGTCGTCGGTCGCCGGAGTTGACTAGGCGGGGGTCGGAGGTGCACTTGAGAGAAATTGAGAGAGAGATGCTTGGGGGAGGTGTTTAGAAATTGTGAGCCCCGGTTGTCTTATAAGTGCCCGATTTTTTTTTTTTTTATTCTGCCCAGGGGTTAGCGCCGCTAGCACCCCCCTCGCGGCGCTAGGTGCGGCTAGCGGCGCTAAGAGGCCTAGCGACCCGGGGCGTTTTTCTCTGTTCCCTAACTAGCGCCGCTAACGTACCCTTAGCGGCGCTAACAACACCTTAGCGCCGCTAGCTAGGGTCTAGCGGCGCTAGTAACTGATTTCGACCCCTTTTTCTTCTTCTTTTTTTTTTATGAATAATAAAATACATCAGGTACAAGATTGCTCGATTTAATGCCTCGAGCTCGGCACATTCTTGCTCAGACGTACGCTGGGTCGCTGAGACTAATCGTCTCGACATGGCTTTTTCCGAATTCTCCATCGAAATACGGCTTCACTCGTTGTCCATTCACCACAAATAACTCATCATTAGCCGGGTTTCGAAGTTGGACAACTCTAAGAGTCAAAACTTCGTCAACAATGTATGGCCCACTCTACCGGGACTTGAGTTTTCCCGGAAAAAGACGAAGTCGGGAGTTATATAAAAGCACCTTCATACCGGGCACGAGATTCTTTCGAACAATATTAGCGTCGTGAAGCTTCTTGACTTTGTCCTTGTAGATTTTGGAGTTCTCGTAGGCCTCGTGTCTCCATTCCTCCAATTCCGAGAGTTGCAACAGCCTATCTTTCCCGGCGGCATCTAGATCAAAATTCACCTTCTTAATCGCCCAAAATGCCTTGTGTTCAATCTCAACCGGCAAATGGCACGCTTTTCCGTACACGAGTCGGAACGGGCTCATCCCCAAGACTCCCTTGTAAGCTGTACGTTGAGCCCATAGAGCATCATCGAGTCGACTGGACTAATCCTTTCGGGAAGAGTTCACTGTCTTTTCTAAAATGGACTTGATCTGCTTGTTACTCGTCACGGCTTGGCCCGATGTTTGTGGATGATACGGGGTGGCCACTTTATGTGAAATGCCATACTTTTTCATCAACTTCTCGAAAATCCGGTTGCAAAAATGCTTGCCTCCATCACTCACAATGGCCCGTGGAAATCCGAACCTGCTCAATATATATCCTTGCAAAAACTTGATAACCACATTAGCATCACATGTCCTTGTGGGGATAGCCTCGACCCACTTGGACACGTAATCTACGGCAAGTAAAATATATTCAAAGCCACAAGATTTGGGAAACGGTCCCATAAAATCAATGCCCCAAACATCAAAAATTTCGACTTGTAAATTGTTCACAAGGGGCATTTCATTTCTACGACCAATGTTTCCCATTCTTTGGCAACGATCACAAGACTTGCAAAAATTATGAGCATCCTTAAAGAGAGTTGGCCAAAACAAACCTGATTGGAGAACCTTGAGAGCCGTCTTTCGGCCTCCAAAATGGCCTCCACATTGAAACTCGTGGCAAAAGGCAAGGACATCCAGCTGCTCTTCTTCAGGCACACACCTCCGAAGGATCTCGTCTTTTCCCAGTTTGAAAAGCAACGGGTCATCCCAAAAGTAACTCCTACACATCAACACAAAGCGTTTCCTCTCTTGGGAAGAGAGGTTAGACAACAAAACACCATCTGACAAATAATTAACGATATCCGCATACCAAGGAACACTAGAAACCTCACTCACATGCTCGTACGGAAAACTATCATCAATATTATTATCAAGCAAATGAGGTGAAATATCAGACGGGATGATACGAGACAAATGGTCGGCTACCACATTTTCCGACCCTTTCCTATCACGAATTTCTACATCGAACTCTTGCAAAAGTAAAATCCACCGAATGAGCCGTGGTTTGGATTGAGTCTTGCTCAAAAGATATCTCAAAGCAGCATGATCAGAATGAATAATCACTTTAGACCCTAAGATGTATGATCTAAATTTTTCAAGAGAAAACACTACGGCTAAGAGCTCTTTTTCGGTGGTCGTGTAATTAAGTTGAGCTCCATTAAGGGTCAAACTAGCATAATAAATCACACGAAGTAATTTATCAACTCGTTGACCCAAAACGGCGCCCACAGCAAGGTTCGAAGCATCACACATAATCTCAAATGGCAACGACCAATCAGGAGCAACAACAATAGGAGCAGTCACAAGCTTATGCTTCAATTTTTCAAAAGCATCTAAACATGCATCATCGAACACAAAAGGCACATCATTAGCAAGCAATTTACAAAGAGGCTGGCTAATTTTCGAAAAATCTTGTATAAACCTCCTATAAAAGCCAGCATGACCCAAAAAACTCCTAACTCCTTTCACATTAACAGGCGGGGGAAGATTTTCAATCACATCAATCTTTGCCTTATCAACTTCAATCCCCCGACTAGACACTACATGACCTAAAACGGCACCACTTTGTACCATAAAATGACTCTTCTCCCAACTCAAAGTCAAATTACATTCAATACATCTCTCAAGGACACGAGATAAATTATGGAGACAATTAGAAAATGAAGTGCCAAATATAGAGAAGTCATCCATAAATACCTGTAGGCAATCCTCGAGCATGTCGGAGAAGATGGAGAACATGCACCTCTGAAAAGTCCCGGGTGCGTTGCAAAGGCTGAACGGCATCCGTCTGAAAGCAAAGGTGCCGAATGGGCACGTGAAAGTCGTCTTGGGCTGATCCTCCGGGGCGATGGCCACTTGATAGTAGCCCGATAGTCCGCCAAGGAAGCAATAGTACTGATGGCCTGAGAGACGGTCCAGGATTTGATCAATGAAGGGCAATGGAAAGTGGTCCTTCTTCGTCACGGCATTGAGTCGCCGGTAGTCTATACACATTCGCCACCCGGTAGTGATACGGGTGGGGACCATCTCCTTTTTCTCGTTCTCGATCACGGTTATCCCTCTTTTCTTCGGCACCACGTGAATGGGACTGACCCACTCACTATCCGCCACCGGGTATATAAGCCCCTCGGAATAGAGCTTCAATACCTCCTTCTTCACGACCTCCATCATGTTCGGGTTGAGTCGTCGTTGGCTATCGCAGAACGGCTTGGCCCCTTCTTCTAAGATTATCCGGTGCATGCATGTGGCCGGACTAATGCCCTTGATATCTCCGAGACTCCACCCAATGGCCTTTTGATTCCTCTTAAGCATGTCAAGAAGCTCTCGTTCCTCGTCTCGGTTTAGCTCGGCAAAGATGATCACCGGCTTTTTCTTCTCATCATCAAGGAAAATGTACTTGAGGTGTCGGGGGAGCTCCTTAAGCTCTAGTGGAGATGGAATTGTTGCACGGGATTCCTCAACTTCATAGAGCTCAACCGTTGGCCCTTCGTCATCTTCCAAATCGGGCATCAACCTTTCTTCAAACTCCCGTACTGTCATCTCCTCAACTAACGGGTCCATCACATCGATAAAGGCACACTCCTCCACAAAGTTCACGGAAGATGCGGAAGTGGCCTCTCGAACAGAAATAGATACGGACTCGCCTAAGACTGTCATGTTCAACGTACCGTTCTTCACATCTATGAGGGTGTTGGTGGTGGCCATGAATGGTCTGCCTAGAAGGATGGTATGGTCCTTCCCGTTCTCCTGCACGTCCCCCACATCTAGGACCACGAAGTCTACCGGGACGATAAGCTATCTCACACGAACAAGAATATCCTCTATGAATCCCTTGGGGTATCTGATTGATCGGTCGGCAAGCTGTAGGCACATCCGAGTTGGCCTCAAATCTCCGAGGCCGAGCCGCTGGTAGATGGAGAATGGCATGAGATTGATCCCCGCTCCGAGGTCTAGCATCCCCGAAGCCTCTTTCCCATTCCCGAGGGCAATTTTGATGACGAAACCCCCGGGATCACGTTCCTTCTTCGGCAAGTCGTGCTGCATTGCGCTTGCCGCCTCATAGACCACCACTTTTTCTCCGTCCTCGAACCTCCTCTTCTTAGTGACCAAGTCCTTGAAGAACTTGAGGTAGGATGGCATATTCTTTATCACATCAAGCAGCGGAAAATTCACATTGACCTTCGAGAGCATGGTGTAAAGGTCTCGAAATTGCTTCTCCTGCTTCTCATCCCGAAGCTGGCTCGGAAAAGGTATGCGTGGCTTATATGGATTTGGGGATCTGTACAACAGTGGGCCATCCGCCGGTTTCTCCGAATCAGCTTCCTTGGAATTTTCGATATTCTCTTCCGCCTCCTTAGTCAGTTTAAGCTCCTCAGACTGATCCGACGGACCCGGCATCTCTACCCGGTTATCGACCACTTTCCCGCTTCTCAACACTGTGATTGCCTGGGCCTCCTTAGGTTGGCTAGACAACTTCCCCTTGTCTGCTTCAGACTCGATATTGCCCACCCGAGTAGGCAGCTGGCCCACTTGGGTCTCCAAGCGTTTGATCGATGAGTCCTGGTTGGTGATGAACTGAAGGATTTTATCTAGCTTGTCGTTCTGGCTAGACGAACTCGGTCCTGCCCCCTGGTTCTGCATCCCAACCGTCGGGCCCCTTTGTTGTTGCTGCTGCTGTTGAGGATAGTTCATCCTCATTTGCTGTTGAGGAGCAAAGGCGGGCCGTGGTTGCTGTTGAGTGAAGTTCTGACGGGGTTGCTGGAGGGTGTTCTGATTGTTCGACCAAGAAAAGTTGGGGTGATTTCGCCACCCCGGGTTGTATGTGTTGGAGAACGGATCATTAACGGGCCGGTTCTGATATCCCTGTAAAGCGCTGCCATCTGCATACTGCTCACCGAAATCCTGCTCGAATGAAGAGGGGCATACTTCGGACCTATGCCCTGGGACTCCACAAGCCCCACATGTATCTACCGCCATAGTTTGCATTGGCTGAGCTCCTCGTGCATTAAGTAGCTGCGTCTGTTCCGTGAGCTTAGCCAACTGTTGGGCCATCATGTCATGGCTGGTTCCCACTTCATTCACCATCGCTCTCTTTCCCCGACAGCTCTTCTGCGACGAGTTCGTGCTCATCGTCTCAAAAATTTCGAACATTTCTTCCGCCGTCTTTGCTCCTATATCTTCTCCTGCCGCATTGTCGACCATATATTGCAGGTTCTGATTCAGGGAGTCATAGAAGCAGTTCATCAGTAACCCCGGAGAGAGGTTGTGATGAGGGCACTGTCGCTGGAGATCTTTGAACCGCTCCCAAGCCTCGTGAAGAGGCTCATTCGGTAATTGAGCAAATGAAACGATCTGTGAACGAAGCTCCTGGGTCTTTTGATGGGAGTAGTACCTCCCAATGAACTTCGAATACACCTCGGACCAGGTAGTGAGAGAATCCGGTGCTAGCGTCATGAATCATGCCTTGGCCCGGTCCTTCAGTGTCTCGGGAAAGCATCGCATCTTTAACTGTTCCTCATTCAGACCATGGAGAGGGAAAGTCTGAAGGACATTGTAGAACTCCCGGATGAAGTTGAGTGGATCTTCGTTGGGGAGTCCGTGGAAAGACGGCAGCTGGTTGTAATGGATCATCTTGAGCTCATAGTTCCTTGCTGCTTCCCCCAAACGAATGCACGAAGTGATTGGCCCGATCACCGGTTGGGCCAAGGTTCGGAGAGTGTCACGTAGAGGTGGAAGTTGTTGAGCCATCTCCTGAGTTGTTCCTTTAGATGCGTCGAGGCTAAGCTTATCAAACAGTTCCCTCACGAGCTCGGGACTTGGGTTGGCGTTTGATGGTAAGAAAAACGAAGAAAAAGAACCTAAAGAAAAATAACCAAGACAAGATCAAAAACTAACAAATTAATCCTAAGAAATAAGAGAAACACGAAAAACAATATGAATAGGCGCACAATTATAATCCTAAACCTTCTCCGGCAACGGCGCCATTTTGTTGTAGTAATTTTAACCGGAGTAGAATCGAAAGATTCGTTCCCCGGGTCGTATCGCAAGGAAGGTTAGCCGGATATAATTGTTCGATTATTCAATCACAAAAGAAGATAAAAATCCTAAACACTCTAATTCAATGATTTGGGTTTCAATTATCAACTACCAACTTTAAATTAAATAAAGCACGAAATGAACAGTAACGAATTAACTGAGAATTTAAAGAGCTAGGGAATCGGGGACAACTGCTTTCGGTTCTTACACAACTACCGGCAATCAATTGCTCGGTTAAAGGAAGTGAATCGTCTCGTTTAGAGGTTCACTCTCAATAACTCTTCGTAACAAGAGAGTGAACATATACGATTGACTATCAAATCCAGCAACTCATAGACAATACTTTGACGAACAAGTCTATTCTAAACGAGCCTAAATCGACCAGTGTCTCCCCTTTCGGTTCTAAACAATGATTAACTAGGTTATATAGGTGATCAATCTATTAACCCTAAATTGAACTCAACTCGCATAGATATGAACAATTAAGAACAAGCAATTATAATTGAACCTAATCAATTATCCCCTATCCCTAGCAGATGGATTTAGCTACTCATATTGGATTTGATCACACAAACATTCATAACCCAAGACATCATCATCAATGAAAGAATTGAAGAAAAATACTTACGATTAATGAAAATTCTGAACTCAATCCAATAGTATCCGAATCCAAAGCAAGATAATAGAGGTTTTTAATCTCTAAAATCGAATCCAAAGAGCAAAACAATGATAGAAGGTGTTTCTCCTCAGCAAAACGCGCATAAAATAAGTCTAAGCCCCGTCCAATAAAACAAACCCTACTCCTAATTATAATAGAATCACGAACTAATCTGATAAGCAGTAGCTAGCGCCGCTAGAGGGGGGTTAGCGGCGCTAGGGGGGGTTAGCGGCGCTAGCTGCTAGCTAGCGGCGCTAATGCTCGGACAGCGGCTTTTCTCTTCAGCTCGCTAGTATATGGCAGCGGCGCTAGGTCCCTTAGCGGTGTTAGCGACCCCTAGCGGCGCTAACTCAACAAAACTGCGCTTTTTGTCCCGTTTCGGCTCGCCTAACCTCCCCCGGTCGACTTATAAGCCCCCAACTGTCTCGTGCACTCCCGGGTTCCGCCCGAGCTCGAACATTGTCCTTCACATGTTGGTCCGCACGACTAGCTGAACGATCCTAGAGCAGCGTTTTGAATACCTGAAACCAACACCAACCGAGAAAACACGGAAACAGGAGAATAGGAAGAAAGAAATACGAAAACCACGAAAAATACAGAAATAACACTAAACGCACAAAATGACTCAAATGACCGGAAAAACCTACAAAACAACCTAGAGTAGGGAAAGAAAGATAAACAAAATACCACAAAAGTAGTAACAAAAATGGGACTAACATAATACACACAAATAACATATAAAATGAAAATATTAATAATAATATAGTTACAAACATTTTATTTAAATAATAACACTTAGACAATTAGGCATTTAATTACAATTTGACAAATAAATCATATAAGACATTTAATAATTTTAGCATTCAATCAATAATAATAACAACAAATAAAAATAATAATGATAATAACAAATAATGATAAATAATTCCCAAATATTTCATAATCAAACGGGGCATTACAATCTATCCTCCTTAAAATATTTTCGTCCTCGGAAATACGAAAGAACGCACATCTCAGATAACGACAGACTCAAACGAGAATTTCAATCACGAGGTCCGGGCATCACCCTCCGGAACTTGATTCTGTTCCCATGAGTCCCATCGCCTTATGCTCGAAAAGCATGTACTCACATACAGAAACCAATCCGACTCGTCCTATGCTCATATGTTTACCTTCTTGCTTGGGAGGGTGATCAGTCCTGCCCGAGCTCAGGCGCACATCTTCTTGCAAGGACCCAGTTCGGTTTAGCCTATACTCATGAGTATCAACAACTTGATTTGTACCTAACAGCACACAAGACCTCAACAGGTCGTTCGGTGTATTGTCAGCGTACTCCGACTATCTCACCATCAAGGTGGACACGTGATGCCAAGTTTCAGTCTCGCATTCGAGTCACACTTATAATTTGCTCACGATTCCTTCACAGACCGTGCGTCTCAATCCGAGACCACAACGCGGTACCACATGCATAAAACATGACATTCCCGATTTGCCGACTCGAGAAATTCTCAAGTGAAGCATAGGGACTCATCGACTACTCTCCTTAATCAGAAATCATCGATTAAAGATTTACACACATTTAGTGGGACTTGGAGCTCTCGGTTCAAGGTTCGAACAAAAGAGTTTAAATGGATAACCAAGTATTCCAGCATGAAATGGTTTCAACACTTCAGTAAAAACATCGATGGTTGGCCGTATACACTGGCCTGGGGAGTTCGTGCGTACGGTGATGGCGGTTGCAGTTCGCATGCGAGTCAACGGTCGGCCGCGCGCAAGCCTCCCGTCTCTCAGCACGATCGTGCGTGCCCGGCCACCACTTCGCGTGGCTACACCCTGTCAGGGTCGGCGGTTGGTCCAGGTTTCCACAAGAAATTACAATTCAAGGATTCCAAAAAGGAATGGTTTTACCAAATTTCAAAAATTTTGGGGTCGACAAAACAATATATATTTCAGGCGTTTCTCAATTTCAAAAGTTTCAAAAAGTCTCAAAGACAGCATGTGCAAGTTCGAGCTCCAAGTCCACCAACTTTCTAAAATAAGAAAACGCAATACTCCACAGATTTAATAATATGCGAAAACTCAAAGAACTCTCATGACAATTATCCTTAAGTCAGCGGCTTCTGCCGAGACATTAGCTAGATAGCTCGCTTCGGCTCTTTCGTCTATCAGCGTCTACCGATACATCAGCTCTTCCTCGGGTAGCTAATCGTGTCAACAGCCCTAAACGAGCGCAACTCACTTCCCAATCTTCACACCTTGGCATTTGAACGCGAAGTTCCTCCTGGGATTCCGAAAGGGGGAAAAGAACAAAAATTTCACGATTAACAAAATTTAGAATAGTGACGGTACTGCACTACACAATGTGCTTGCTCCAGACTCGACTATCCTCCTTAAAAGATTTCTGCATAATCTTTTAAGGCGGAAAAACACTCCATCTTTCCTTATCGAACTGAATCGTGCTGGCTTTTGCTCCCGTGCGTTCATCTCGATGTCGAGCGTGAATAATTATTGTCCCCCTCGAGGGTAAGTTATTCACAAAAGTGGCGATAGAAAAATTTTGCCCTCGAGTCTTCGTGATATTTTGGCGATGGCATTCGAACGAAACTCTCATACTTCGCAAGAGAATAAAGATAAGCAGAAACAAAGAGATGCTTAATCTCACTTGAAATCAGGTTTTTTCAAAACAAAGTCAATTCTCAACATA